CAGAATGTGTGTTTGTAGGACATGGTGATAAAAAATTTAGCTACAGGATATAGGATCTAGTGAAGAGAAAAATAGTTAAAAGTAAAAATATGGTCTATCATGAAAATAAACTAGAACAAACCTTGAAAAAAATAAGAAGACTACACGTATTATTGTTGAGTGTGATGTTTCAATACTGACAAGGGTTCCATAGAAAATAGTCACAAATGATGAAAATAAGCAAAAAATAGAACTTGGAGATATGAATAAGCTAGGCACAGTTAGTGATAAGTCAGATGCAATCAATTTTGAACGGGGAGAGCAATTTTCTCTATCTGAGAGTGTTGAGCAAGAGAAGCTACCTTTGGCATCAAGTGATGTAGAGTCTCAGCCTAAGAGATCTACTAGAGAGTGCAGGCCATCTACCAGGTATCTAAGTTTAGATTTTATTTTAGTTATCAATGAAGGGGAATCAAAGAGCTTTCAAGATATGCAGGCTACTCTGGATAGAGAGCACTAGTTAAAAGCAATGAAAGAAGAGATGGAGTCATTATGAAAAAATGGTACTTATAATTTTATTAAACTTTCAAAAGGAAAGAGACCGTTGAAGAATAAATAGGTATTCAAGTTAAAAAAAATGGTGACAAACTAGTGAGATACAAAGCTCGTTTGGTGGTAAAAAGTTTTTCTAAAAAACCAGGCATCGATTTTGATGATGTCTTTGCTCAAGTTGTGACGATGAGTTCCATTCGAGTGGTATTGGGATTAACAATTAGTTTGAATCTTGAGCTTGAGTAACTTGATATTAAAACTACATTCTTATATGGTAACTGGCAGGATGACATTTATATGAATTAGCCTGAGGGTTTTGAGGTGAAAAGGAAAGAGCACTTAGTTTGCAAATTGAAAAAAAGCTTATATAGCTTGAAACAAGTTCCATGATAGTGGTATAAGAAGTTTGATTCTTTTATGGTGGGTCACAGCTATAAAAGGACGGCAGCAAATCCTTGTGTGTATGTCAAAAAATTTTTTGATGGTAACTTCATTATTCTTTTATTATATGTTGATGATATGTTGATTGTGAGATAAGATGTTAGTATGATTTACAAGTTGAAAGAATAATTATCTAAGTCTTTTGACATGAAAGATTTAGATCCAGTAAAGCAGATTCTCAGTATGGACATTATCCGAGATAGGAGAGCTAAAAGGCTATGGTTGTCACAAGAAAAGTATGTTAAACGAGTGCTCAGTAGATTCAACATACAACATGCTAAATAAGTTAGTAGTTCACTTGCCAACCATTTTTATTTGAGTAAAAAATCTTGTTCGATGTCTAAAAAAGAGCAACTAGCTATGTCTAGTATTTTTTATTCTTCTGCAGTCGATTCTTTAATGTATCTTATGGTTAGTACACGGCCTGATATTACTCATGCAGTTGGTGTAGTGAGCAGATTTTTTTTTAATCCGAGAAAATTTCACTAGGAAGCAATGAAATGAATTTTCAGATATTTGAGGGGCATCTCAAAAATGTGCTTGAGTTATATAGTTTCACAACCAGTTCTAGAAAAGTTTATTGATGCTAACATGGCAAGTGATCTTAATGGTAAAAAATTTACTTCAAGATATTTGTTCACTTTTACAAAAAGAGCTGTGTCTTAGTAGTTTAAGTTACAAAAGTGTGTTGCTTTATCAACTACAAAGGTTGAGTATATTGCAGCAACTGAAACAGGTAAAGAAATGCTTTGGATGAAACGTTTTCTTCTTGAATTGAGGTTGAATCAGAAAGAGTATGTGGTGTTTTGTGATAGCCAGAGTGCTTTAGATTTGAGTAAGAATGCCATGTACCATGCGAGAATAAAAAACATTGATGTTAGATATCATTAGTTACGTTCAGTGATTGAAAAACAGCAGATATTATTGAAGAAAGTTCATACTAATAAAAATGTAACAGATATGTTGACTAAAATACTTCCCATGGAGAACTTGAGCTTTATAACAACTTGATCAGAATGAGTTCCTTGGCCAAGGTAAGTTTCAAATGAAACTGCTATGGTGATGAATCTCCTTCTAATGGGGCTAAAGGGGGAGATTGTTAGGAAAATGGGGTCCAGTCTCATGCAATTGGTTTTAGGCCAATCAAAGGTCATAGACTTTGGTCTTTCTTTTTACATAGAGCCCTAGCTACTTAATAAAAAAACATGGGGTTGTTTTAAGGTGGTGTCAAAAACCAAGAAGAAAAAAGAAAAAAGCCAAAAAAAGTAAAGAAAGAAAAAAGAAGGGAGAATTGGTTGCATAAAAGTCAATCCGTTGTCTGATTAAACTAAAACTTTGTCAGCAAGTTTATGATTCAGAGTTCTACATTTTGAACGATGAAGATCGGATTTGAAGCTCTCTAAGAACAAATCTAATATGTATTTATTGAGTCACCTATTTGGTAAAATTTCTCTAATTGTCTCTCTCTAGTTGTTGATTAGTTCTAGTTTTAGCTAAAGAAGAACATTGTATATCCATTATTTGATAATGAAGATTTTTCTGGTGATCCGTGATTTTTTCCTCTACACTGAAGAGTTTTTCACATAAATCTTGATGTGCTTTATTTTTCTTGTGTTGTTAATTATTGATTGTTGTCTACTACTTTGGGTTATTACACTATATTACTTCTGTGTTGTTGTATTTATTGCTTCAGCCCAACATCATTTTACAAGCGACGAGGGAGTGTATAGACACTTGCTGGAGAAAGAAACATCCCGTAGCATTTCGCCAATAGCAATTGAAGTCGTTGGATATGTGAGGCAGTTGAGACAATTGATCAGGTAATGATAGATGAAGGTAGAAGGTATCACATATAAAACCACATAGACCATTGGCACCGATGGAAAGTAAAAATGTGATAGCTTCAGTTTTAGAGAAGCTTATAAAGAATGCATTTTCCAATACTTACCATTCAATTTTTCTTTTTTTTTTTTCAATAGAGGGTAAAGCCTTATAAGGAATGGGAGGCTTCATTCAAAGCCAAGCTGTTATATCTTCTTAAAGACTTATGTGACCACTAGGTCATGAAGCAAAAGACAATTTTTCTATTTTTCATTGCTTAGGTCTCCTTTCAATATAGATTAGGGACAACTTTTATATATAGTATAGATTAGATGGGCATAACCCATGAAAACGGAAAAAAGTCTTGTATTTATATTATTTATTGTATTTATATATCTTATTTTTTATTCTATATATCTATTGGATATACAATAACAATTCTTATTTATATTTAAACATCACAACTCTTTAACTTAGGTTTACTTATTATAAATAATTTTTAATTTAAAATGACTAATTTATTATTACTATATTTTCACAAATATGTAGATCTAAATTTAACATATATATGAGTATTATAATAATTAAAACCGAATTAACAAATATTTAATTGTGATCTTTTTCTTTTTTTTTTTCAACCAAATTTTTTCATATTATATCTTTTATACCTTTTTTTTTAAATTGTTACATTCAAAAAAATATAAATGCTTAATTGTTATTTATATTTACATATTAACATACTTATAATTGTAATTGTTTTTATATATGTTGCATTTAAAAAAAATTTATTAGTAGATTTGATATATTTTGGGAAAAATAAAAATAATTTATTGTTATAAAATATTACTTTATGCAAAAATTTGAGAATATTGACTGCTTTTCAAAGATAAAATGATTTTTAAATGAGGTTTTTAATGAAATAGTTAATGGATGACTAATGGAAAAACATACTTGTCTTTTGAAATTAAAAAGTTTAGAACAAATTGTCTGTTCTTTAAATTAACAAATTTATGTTGAATTATCCTCGTAACTAAAAGATGGAAATTACCTTATTCTTTAACAAGAGGTAAGATTTATCTAATTTATACTACAATAGATTAAAAAATGCCTAAGAAATTCAAATGTTTACAGTTATCCAAGTTTATTACAGGCTAGATATTTATTAGGGTTTTAATTTTAAGATTTGAATTTTGAATTTTATTTGTATGGAAATGTAGTGAGGCTCAATGGGATTCATTTTATCACCTTTTCATAAAAATGTTTTTGTTTAATTTTGTTGGTGAGGATAGAAATTTTCAATAGAAATAAAGAATTTATCCACCATTTTTTATAGGTGAGATCTTTCAAAGGGTCCTATTTGACTAAATGAATGCATGCTAATTTTATTAAAAGTAGTTCAATTTTATGTAGAACACAAAGTAAATTTTTTAAAAAAAATTTAAAGTCATGAGAATTTTATAAAATTCATCTAAGTATTAATGAAGTCTTAGGAATTTTTAAAATTAGAATTAAATAAATTCATAAATAAATTTTTAAGGTTAATAAATTTTTATTAACTCTACCAAAATATTAAAAAAGTCTTAAATTTTTTCAATATGAAAATTAATTAAATTCATAAATAATAAATAAAAATAAATGAAACAAAAAACATTAAAGTCACAAAATTCATAAAAATGAAATATGATAAATAATGAATAATAGATGAAAATATATATGATTAAAATAAAAAATTTATTTTACTCACAAAACCTCCCACATTCTTTTACACATGTCAATATAGAATATAAAAATAGAGATTAAAATTTTCAAAGAATAACTTTTAAAGAAATATATGATGATATTAAATAAAAAACTAATTTCCTTAAATTTGAGTCGACGAAATATTTTATAATATTTTTAATAAATTATTTGTAATTGAATAATTATTATAATAAATTACAATTTTTTATATTTTTAATTAAAAAAAAAGAAAAATACAATGTAGCGCGAGACCCATTCTTGTAAACTACAAATGCCTCCTGCTCTGCTAGGCTAATACACAGATTACCCAAACAACCAAATCCATCGCCTTTGGGCTATGGCCTTCGGCCTTTGCTCCTTGGTTTTGTATTGAATGCCGGAAGCCTGAATTTCACTCTCTTTCTCTAGGTGAAGCAGCTATAAATCTAAATTCACATGCATTTTCTTTACCCTCTCGAGGATATATAAATCATTGCTAGCTATAACAAAGTCATTCCTTTTCAAACCTCACAAGAAAACCGCCTAAAACCCCATTTTTTCCTTTCTCTTTCTCTCGTCTTTCTTTGTTCTTCAAGAATCCTGCAAGAAAACCGTATCCCAAACAACAACAACATCAAGAATTCTCAAAGCCTTTCACTCAAAAAAGAAGGGAAAAGATCCAAAGAACCTCATGGCCTGTGAAGAAGAAGGTCATCCCAAGCTTCAATTTCCATTAGATTCGGAGTCTTACAAGATTATTGATGAAATCGGGGCTGGCGTTAGTGCCGTAGTTTACAAAGCCGAATGTGTTCCCATGAATTCAATTGTTGTTGCCATCAAAGCCATTGATCTTGATCAGTCCAAGGCTGATTTCGACAACATTCGACGTGAAAGCAACAGCATGTCACTTCTTTCACACCACAACATCCTCAATGCTCATTGCTCCTTCACCGTTGACAGACGTCTCTGGGTGGTGATGCCATTTATGTCTGGCGGTTCTTTACAATCCATAATCTCATCTTCTTTCCCCGACGGTTTATCAGAGCAATGCATTGCCATTGTTCTCAAAGAAACCCTCAATGCATTGTCATATCTTCACAACCAAGGGCATTTGCATAGAGATATAAAGGCTGGCAATATTTTGATGGACTCGATTGGGTGTGTTAAGCTTGCGGATTTTGGGTTTTCAGCTTCGACTTATGAGTCGAGTTCAGGTCACGAATCGTGTTCATCGACATCTTCATCACCGTTGGTTATTACTGATGAGTCGGGAACCCCATATTGGATGGCACCAGAGGTGATACACTCACATACAGGGTATAGTTTTAAGGCTGATATATGGTCTTTTGGTATAACCGCGCTAGAATTAGCCCATGGAAGGCCTCCTTTATCGCATCTACCTCCTTCAAAGTCTTTGATCATGAAGATTACCAAGCGGTTTAGATTTCCTGATTATGAAAATAATAGCAAGAAAGGTAAGACCAAAAACTTTTCAAAGGCCTTTAAAGATATGGTTGCTTCTTGTCTTGATCAAGATCCTGGGAAGCGACCCTCGGCAGAGAAGCTTTTGAAACATTCCTTTTTTAAGAGTTGCAAAGGTTTGGATTTTCTTGTCGAGCATGTGTTGCATGGATTGCCCAGTGTTGAAGAGCGGTTCAGGGCAAGCAAGATTCTTAGGGAGGGTGTTGATGTTGGAGTAGATTATGAAGATGTTGATGGGGAATCAGGGTCTCAGCTTGTTAAACATAGAAGGATTAGCGGGTGGAACTTCAATGAAGATGGGTTCGAGCTTGACCCTGTATTCACCAGCGAGTCCAAAGACGATCCAATTGGGAAACAGGTTCGTTTTGGTGGCGAAACGATCATTCCAGTAAAGGCAGGTGACTCGGATGGATCGGGTAATCCTGGGGGATCAAATTTGAATTTACCAGAGGCTGTGTCAAGTTTGATTAGTTCACCAGGGGGTGTTGGGGAGAGGGGAAATGATGGTTCTCATGGTGAAGAAGAGTCTGGCATTGAGCGAATTGCAGGGAATGAGTCTGGAGTTGACAGTACTTTTAATGCAGAAACAGTAGTGGGTTACCTGATGACATTGAAAAAGAGTTTGGATGATCAAATGCAGAAGGTGACATATATGATTAGCCAGCTTGGAGGGGAAGTGATCAACAGGGAAGATCAATTGGTGCAGTTGATTGAGAAGTTGAGGTTGGAGTTGGAGCATGAAAGGCAAAAGAACTTTGAATTGGAGATGCAGTTAGAGATTCTCAGAATGCAGACTTCTGGTCCATCCAACACTGATGAAAATAATTGAGGTTTACCCGTCCCAACTACAACATTTGCGAGTTGGTTGAAGATTTGGGACATTGAGTGAAATTTCAGTCTAGTTTTTTTTTTTGTGATTTGAGTCCACATAGTGTATCACAAATCACAAGTGCAAATATGTGCGCCTTAAGATAGTTGGGAATTAGGGACATGCCAAACAGGCTACATTTGATTTCATCTAATGGAAGAAATTGAAAGATTATGGATAATTTTGACATTCTTTATGCATAATTCTATGTTCTTTGATACCTGAAGAACGAGCTACAAGTCTCAGAATTTTCATTTCATATATAAATTATCAGTAAAAACTGGCTTATGCCCGAGCATACTAAACTTTTTGGGGTGAGAATCCAATTTAGTATCTTGCGTTCTCATGCTGATGACCCGAAACATACATGATGGCCATTGGTCTATTCTGTATAGTCCACTGAATCGGGCTTAGACCTAGAAAGGCTAAAATCAATGACTGTAACACCCCGCAGCCGACCCAAATCAGGATTTTTTGGGCTGAACCAGAAATTGTTAGTTTTTTTCTTTGTATTTGAGGTCTGAGTTTCTCAGGTTCAGTCATGCTCACGATATAATATTAAACGCCTCTCTTTTCCATTCACCGGTTGGGTTCTTAATGAAACACATGTATAAATTTACTGTATTTTCAAGAAGGACGAGGCCAGTATTCAATCATCTGTTACCTTGTTAGCTGCTGTATTTTCAATGATTATCCTGTCACTGGATCTTCCATTCAGTGTTAAATTATGACATTATTAGGATCAAAACAATGATTAATTTCTGTAAGTTCAAACATATTGCTGCAGTTTCAGTTTATGTTTTTTTTTCTACTGATCCTTATTATGTTTTAATATAAACTTATATAATCCAGAGAAAGTATATTTCCATGTTTTTTTTTCCTTTTATCAAGATACACTTTTAGAGGAAAATAATAATTTTTTTTTTTAATTCAGGTTTCTTGTTAGAGACTGAATTGTTAATTCCACCACAAAAAAAATTAATCCAAGGTCTAAATACCTGAATCAATAATTATAAAATATGTAGATAACTTCTTTTTTTATTGAGATATCTAAGAAAAATTATATAAAAACTAAGCCCATTTAATGAACACCTTGAAAATTTTGATTGATCCGAACTATCCATTTAGTCATGTTTATTATTAAAATTTTAAAAATATATATATTTTTTAATTTTATATTAATTATTAATAAAATAATATTATATGATTTCAAATAAAATTGAACTTGCATTTTAAATTAATGAAAAGAGTTTTGGTTATGTATGATAATGGAATACACACGGGATTAAGATGAAAACAATTGTACTTGAATTTTAAATATAAATATGTAAATCTTAATAGAAAGATGGATTAAATTGTTTCCTTTGTCATAACAATTTGAATACAAATGCTAGTTTTATTATTTTTATTTATTTGATGTATGAAAAAAATATTATTTGTATCACATATTTGTTCTATTTAAATTTTATTCTTTAGATAAACGACATGTTTTATTTATTTAAAGAGAAGAGAAATACTTTATTACTATTTCAAAAGGTACAAACTATATATGAAAAATACAAATCCGAAATTAAGTGTGAAAAATGTTAATGAAAATATCATGCGTTCGCATGCTATCTCGTTAATTTGAATAATAAGATGGATTATAAATTCCTAGAATTTATAATTGCATTAAAATTTATATTTTTTTTAAAAATTTACTTTTGAGGAGTTGAATCTAATCATATTGCAGTTGAAATTCATTATAAAAATATTAGGATTGAAATTCTTTAAATTGGTTTATATTAGTTACATTTGAGTGATTTTGCTCTATTAAAATTTAATCTAAATGTTATTTATGAAATTTTTAATCAAATTACATCTTCTACATGAAACAAGAACGCACAAACATTAAGAAAATAACATGTTTCTATGTTTTAATATAATTGCATCTAAAAATTTATTCAAAATAAAAATTCACTACACCTTACATAAAAATTGATCTTGTAAATCATATTGATTAATTTGCAATTTAAAGCTAAAAAGACATGTTACTAAATAATTAGTTTTAAAACTTAGATAAAATATTTTTTATTTTAATTAACAAAATGTGAGACTCAACTTTATCAAATCCCATAAAAAGTTTTAAAGTGAAAAAAATAAATAGTAGAAGCTAAAGAGCACTTATAATTATTTGTAAATAAATTAATCAAATAAAAAATTTTATTAAATTTGATTATCCAATTAAAACAATAATAAATGTAAAAAAATAATTCTTATTATAATTTTATGAATTATTAGAGGATAAAATTAGAATATATAGAAATTTTAATTAAATATTTGTTATAACAGAACTTCTTTAATATTAATATGGCATAAAAATTCAAATAACTTATTCCACAAAATAAAATTTTTAAAATTTTAAGGGACAAGCAAATTACTTATTATAATTCTTATTATAACTTTATGAATTATTAGAGGATAAAATTAGAATATATAGAAATTTTAATTAAATATTTGTTATAACAGAACTTCTTTAATATTTTAATATGGCATAAAAATTCAAATAACTTATTCCACAAAATAAAATTTTTAAAATTTTAAGGGACAAGCAAATTACTTATACTTTTAAAAACATATCTTAAATTGAAGTTATCAATAAATATGTTCATTAATGACCATAAAATTAATTGGACAATATATATCAATTAAATTTTAATAATTAATTGCAATAATTCGTGTTTTTAGCTTTCTTCACCTTTTTGTTTTTTAAGTTTTAAAAATAATATTTATCTATTAATTGTAACAATTAATTATGTATTTTTTGCTTTATTTATCTTTTCAATTTTTTCTATTTTAAAAATAATATTTAGCTATTAATTATGATCATTCATTTTGCCTTTTGGGTTTTATTGTCTTATGGTTTTTTATAGTATTGAAGAAAATATTCACTTATTTGAAATTTGACTAATTGTGATCTCTAACCATGTTTTTTAAGCTTTATTTACCTTTTAATTTTTTTCGATTTTAATAAAAATAACATGTATTTATGATAATTGATTTTTTTTTATCTTTTGATTTTCACCATTTTAAATAGATATATATTAAATTGATTGTGTATTATTTTTTTAACCTTTTGGCTTTAACTTTTTTTCAAATAATATTTATCTATTAATTGTGGTAATTTATTAATTTTTTTAATTAAAAACACATTTAATTTGATTATTAATTATGGTAATTTATTAATACATAATTACTACAATTAATTTGATTGTAAATATAATTGATAAATTACCATTATTAATAAATTACCACAAAAACATAATACACAATTAAAAACAAAGAAAAACACAATCAATTAAATTACCCCAATCAATTGTGTAATTAATTAATAAATTTCTAATGGGTGAAGAGATATATTTACAATAGTAGTCCTACAAATATTAATTTCATTATAATAATTTATTTAACATATGGTTTTAAAATTTTGTAAAGATATATTCAATTTTAATTTTAAATGATATATTAAAAAATTGATATTGCAACACATGGTTAAAAAAACTTAGTTGGATAATGAAAAACATTTATAACATTAGAATATCATTAAAAGTATTTTTTACATGGTATATATTTTTATTTGTTATAAATTAAATTTTCTTTAAGAAATTCTAGTGGTTTGTTGAAAATTACCAATATTGCAATTAAACTTGAAGATTTATCAATTTCTAAAATAATGAGATACAAACAAATTTTTAAAAAAAAAAGGTATAAGAGATTTTAATAATTAACTATACTTAAATAATGTGAAAAGGTAAAAAATTTAATATTCAATTGTTAGATTTATTTATCTTTTGAAAAAAAATAATCCTTTTAATGAACATATCAATCTTATAAGAACGCAAATATCAGCCCCTAGTAGGTAGAAAACTTTCTTAGAGTACTTTTTCACACTATATTTTATTTTACTCTAAATAAAATTATAAAGCTTAAATGATGAAATTTATGAATTTGGCATTTAATCTCTAGTGTTCATTTAACTTCAAATTTATTTAATATGAAAATTTTCTTTCTTTTCAATTATACTTATGCATTTTATAAACGAAAATTTATAGTTCAAACCTAAGTTTTAAGTTATAAATGTGGATTAAAAAATATAAAAAAACAATTATCTTTTTTGCTAATTAATAAAAACATAAATTATCTAATAATGTAAGAACTTTAACATGATTTTATGCTCACTAATCAATGCCACCATTAAAAGGGACTTTATCTTAGGAAGTGTGGATTTTGTTATTTAGCATTAAACCCCAATAATTGATCCAAGTTCACATATATTTATAATATTAATATTTTAATGTGTTCCTTCTTTATATTTTTTTAAAGGAAGAATTCAAATGAAAATTCTATTATTATAAGTTATTGCTCTAATTCATGTTTTTAACTATAAGTGCAAATGAAAAAAGTAAAAGAACTATTTAAGTTGTTTTGAAAAGAATTTATTTACAAATGAAATATGAAAATAAATAAATAAATTTAATTAACCAGAAAATTCTAAAATTGACATTAAACTCTTAAAATCCATTCGAGTTTATATAATATAATATAATATAAACACTATCCACATTCTGTTTTGCTTATAAAAATTTTTACTATATAAATAATCATTCTAACCCATATTTTAATTAAACAATAGATGTATAAGAAGACAAATATAAACATTTATTAACTAAGTTAAAATGTTTTATATGACTAATAAATTTCAAAGATACTCAAAACCTAAATAAGATTTATTATGGGTTTTATAATATTTATCAATGTTATATTAAACCCCTAGTTTCCATTCAAATTCATATCTTATAAGAACACTTTTTTAAATAGTTTTTATGTGTCTTTTATCTTTTTAAAAGAAAAAAACTATACAAAAATTCTATTATTAATCATCCCTTCAAGCCCATGTTTTAAGCAATTATTGTACAAGAAAAAAATATATATTCTTTTTTATTAATTAAGTTAAGTTATTGTCTTGATAAAAATATTAAATTTAAAAATAGTAAAATAAATAAATTAAATTGTAAAATTTATAAATCCTATATGTATTTAATATTATCATTTTCACTTTTCCTTTTTTTATCTTTTTTCCTTTTAAATGCAAAAATCTATAAATATATATATATATTATAATTAAATCATTTCCATTCAATACCCATATTTAACGAAAGAGTATAGTGAAATCACAGGTGACAAGATCACAAATGTAACGAGTTTTTGGAAAAGACTTGGTCTGAGCAGGCCAAGGTCATTCAAATGTTCATTATCTAGAGAATTGATAATTTAGTTCTTGAAATACTTTTGAGTTAACTGTTCATTGTGTCCCGAAAGGCTTATCCTTATCTTTCTAAACCTAAAATACCCCGTTATTGACTTTGTTTCACACTTAATTTTAAACCTGAAATCATTGCATTTGTCATTTAGAATTATGATAATGATT